CAGGGTCCTGGGATCGAGTCCCGCATCGGGCTCCCTGCTCCTTGGGAGCCTGCTCCTCCCTCTGCCTCTCTCTCATGAATAAATAAATAAAATCTTTAAAAAAAAAAAAAAAAGAAAGTTTTTCTTGAATATTCTTCTACTCTTCACCTTGCGACAGTAGCTCTTCTCCTAATTTGGATTATTGTAAGGTTAAGTATTACAGTTCATTGGAAATGAGAAGCCTTGAACTCTTATTTAAAACTCAGTTCTCGGCCTGAGAATGTTTTCCTCAGTTCACTTTACAACCTTATTGTCATTTGACAAAATTTCCTTAATTTCTTTTAAAAATTGTTTGCTCAAAGTGACATAATTTTTTGTGTGTTTGATTTGGCATATGTCCCCTAATGTGAGAGAGAACAATATAAGCTCTCCTGTCATCCACTAATAGTAAACATTCAGGAAGTCGAAGTTGAGGGGTTTGATTTATAATTGAAACCTTATTCCATAACAGAGCTCCCATGGTGTAAATGGCCGCATCCAGACACGGGCTGTATTTCGGATCTATTCTGATCTGCATGCAATGCCAGAAAGTCATCATACTGTCTAGGGTTGGTCATGGCTCACAATTATTGCAGCAATTAATAACTGGTCACATTCTGTTAACATGAAAAATGCTCTTTCCATTGTATATGTTCATTAAACCCTAGATGTCAAATATTTTTGAGAACCAGATAAAAAGAATGCCATGTGAAAAGAATCCACGCAGCAAACAGAATTGAAATTCAGTTTGGAACTAGTCAAACTGACTTTAGTAACTGGTACACAAAATCTTCTCAAAACAATGTAGACATTTTGAAAAGATGCAGATACTTCCGGAAAAGGCAAGTCGCCTCATTAGCTTGTCTGTGTTGCAGTTGGCCTGGTCTTCACCTTCTCCCACATGCCTACCCTTCACCGAATGTGTTACTCTGACAGCTTTGGTTGAAGAAGAGGCCTGTGAAAATCTTTGGGGAGTTGCTTTCCAGCAGCGCGAGCAGTCCTGTGTTTAATGCCCCAGGACTAACTGTGGAAATAGGAGCCCCGCCTCGCTCTCTCTCCCCCTCCACCCCCACGCGTGTGGTTTTGTTCCTTTCATTCGGGAGAATTAACCACGTTACTAAGTTTGTTTTACCCTCTTAATGAAATTAATGTAACATCACCTGAATGAACACTGCCTGAATTTTCTCCCCATGGACAATAAAGAACCAACTCTCCATGATCCCTCATAAAAGATTCCCTAGGGATCCTCTGGGTTTGGGTTTTACATGGAGTTTACACGTGAGACTAACAAAATGGTAAACGGCACGCAACACAATAGACGCGTTTCCCCTGTGGCTGAAAGGCTTCTTTCTGAAATAGTGTGCTAATTCTCATGATACTGGATAACAGTGAATGTATTGGTTCAAATATGACAGATGATTTTTTTATTCTTACAACCCCCCCCCTTTTTTTTTCTTATGTGTGTAATTCTCCCCCCTGCCTAGACCTGGTTAACCGTTTCTGTGAGCAGGTCCTCAATTTTTTATTTTGTCCCTACTTTCCTGTCGTAGCCCCATCTTCCCCCGGTGTCGACTCCATCCCCTTGCAGCGCACCGGGAGCCAGCATGGTCCGCAGAACGCCGCCGCCGCCGCCTTCCAGAGGGCCAGCTACGCCGCTGGCCCAGCCTCCAGTTACGCCGACCCCTACCGACAGCTGCAGTATTGTCCCTCCGTCGAGTCTCCGTACAGCAAATCCGGCCCTGCCCTCCCGCCCGAAGGCACCTTGGCCAGATCCCCGTCCATCGATAGCATTCAGAAAGATCCCAGGTGGGTACAGAACCTTGTCTTTTCCCGACCTCGATGCCTAAAGAGCTTTTCCAGCCAGGCACTGTTACGGCGTTTTTTTCCATTGCTGTCACATTGTTGAATCCATGTCACTGGCTGAGCATTGAAGGGTTGACTTCACATTGGGTTTTATAATCTTTGGTTTGGTTGGAGTATGGGCACTGATCATGGACCTCCAGTATCTTCTGTGGTTCAGCAGGTGCCTGAGATGTCAGCTCTTTGCTAAGATCGGGTGCAGCTCTCTTTTGGACAATGGAAATGGAGGATTTGGGGATTACGTCACTTGACTTCAGATGTCACGGTCTAGGTGCTTTCTTGTCTCAGTAGGACCGTGCTCTGTCACCGTGCATGCTTGTTTCTCCGTATCAGAGTGTAAAGTGGTACACCTTCCAGGTTATACCACAAGTGGAAAATTTAGAAAATCCAACTACCTTTATTTTTCTGTGTCTGAAAGTAAACATTAGGTTGAAGTAGTTTGGGTGTTGATAAAAACTTGGGCATATGTGTCAAAGAAGTTCTTCTCACCGAGCTGTGTTTCTCTTTGTTTTCTTTTTTCCAGCAGTGGTGAGAAATTTAGTGGCGCTCTGCTTCTGAAGTTAGAATTGGTTAAATGATGTTTTATTCATAGCCATTTGATTTATGCTGATAGAGTCCCACAGATATATATCTGCATCTGTGAATATTATAGATATGTCAGATTTTTGGTATTTCTTTATAGCAGCGCATGTCACTTGGCTCTGGTAGTGTGCTTAAAATTCAGCTCAAGGAATTTTCTCTGATAGAACAACAAGTGCCTATGTACTGTATTGAGGGGTTTCACAGATTCTTTTGTGAAGGGAAATCACTCTTACCAACATAAAAGGCCAAATGGGACCATTTTATGGTATTTTTTGAGATAGCTACTTTAGCACTATTCAAAATGGCTTGGAGGGTCCATGTTAAATATTATATTTGGTGGAACCTCCATTATTTTAAAAATAAATTGTAACAAATGCTCACTGTTAACACCTAGAAATAAGAAGTATACCTACATTTACATTGTGCAGTGTCTGCTATCCAGGTTTTCAGTTTCAAAGGTCCTGAAATCTGCCCCAAATCCCTGAGTACTTTCAGCTTATGTGGATAGAATGTTCTTCAGATAACACCTCAGCACTCTATTTTTAAGTAATTTTTCTCGACGTGCTCCTGAAAACATAGAAATAGTGGAATGGTAAACTCAGGAAACACTAAATACAGAAATACATGATGGAATTAGCATTGCTTTATTTAACATTGTATATTTAAATGAGGATAAACGTTTTATCTCTGATGAAAAGGTTTTACATTTTCATATTAGGGGAATTTGGCTTAGTAAGAAGCCAAATTTATTTGTTTTTCGAGCCACAGCTTAGCCTCTTTATTTTGTACTGTATATTAAATGCATTTTATTTTATTAAATGGCATATCCTTTCCATTTCATATTACTGTCATTTTTATAGCCTTTTTTCTTCTTTCAGTGAGTTGTCATAGCTCTTTTACCTTTTTAAGTTATGGATTATATCACTTATATTTACTGCATGCCCACTATCAAACAAAACAGGGTAACGCTAGTAAGAAATGTTATCATAAATAAGAGAACATTGGCTACTAATATTTTGTATGTGTAAAATGTATATGCAAGTCATTGCATTATATGAATTACAAATTCACTGTTAATTTCAGGAATGCTACTCATTAGCCTTAAATATGTGTTAAATCTGAAAAAAAATCATACCACCATCCTAAGCCCAGAAATACCAAAAATATGGAACCGTATCTAGAAGTAGAACTGTATTGTTGTGACTTAATTAACACAAAAGGAACTAATGATCTAGCATCATGCAAAATGGACGGAGTTTAAAATACAATAATGCCCTAAGAGTTCTCTTAAAATAAAGGAATATGCCAACGTGTTCAGGTTGAATGGACAGACATTTCAAATCTAAAATTCAAGTCCAAAATCTAATGCTTCTTTTATGACAAGATTTTTGCGTCTTCCTTTGAATAATGAATTTTGATTGCTAGCAGGTGACTATTACCAGAACTAATGGGTTTAACCTGTGGGGTTCAAACTTGTTTATTTTGGCATTATGGCTTATGATTTACACTTTTTCAGTCTTTACACTTCTTTCAAGCTTCAGTTTTTAAAGAGAATTTGTTGAAGTTTTATTTATCATTAAATACCAGACCATCTAAGCCTCTACTGTTCCCAACATATGTTTATAGCACATTATAATTCTCAAAGCACTTCTACTAAATCTTTGATGTAATTCTCCTTTGAGGAGGGAAACTGATGGGTTTAGTGCCTTAAATAGATGGGGAATTAGAGTGATCAATGGCATTGAAGATCACGTTGCTGACAGGTGGCTACATGGGCTAGAATCCATACTCTTAGGACACAGCAGCATGTATTGGCATGAACATTTTTTTTTAATAAAAAACAAAAAGGAAAACGAAGGAACAGAATCCCATCTTTTATGATATTTTTTCAGAAGGTGAGTGAATGATAGTTATGGGTGTTTGTGTGTAGGAGTTTGGAATGATGAAGGAAATGATACAAATTGCCTAAATCGGTCTCCTCGCTCTGCTAATTGCTTATGGGATATGTAGTCTTTGTCTTATTTTTTATTTCTTTGGCTTTCTTCGCTAACACCTGCCTTACACATCTTACTGCAGACCAGTGTGTTTTCTCTATGGGAGAGTTTTAGTATTACTCCATGAGAAGTTTTCCAGAAAGTAGTGTATTTTAACATAAGAATTTGAGAGATCAAGATAGCCTCAATTCAGTCATTAGACTTGAAACCAGAGACTTCATTAGCTCTTAATTCCTCTAAGCCACAAGGTGCAAAAAATTGGCTGCAAAGGCTTGGATTTTTCTGGCTTGCTTGGCTCAGTCATATACGGTGGCAAAACTTTGGTCTTTTTGCTTTTAGGCTGCCCCCATGATGTCCTCTAAGTAAGAATGCACAGAAACCTTTTTATACAGAGAGATGATAAAATCTAATTTCCTTTTTAAAGTCAGCAACCATTGAGGCAATTTACATACATATACATATATATATAAATTTTGCACATTTGCCAAGAAGTTTTTATTTTTTAATTGCATGTTATCTTCCATAAAATGTGAACCTCTTAAGGATTGTTGACACAGCTAATATATTTCCAGTGCTACACCAAATACTGCGTTTTATATACTATTGTTTTTAGACATCTAGGTTAAATATAAATCTTAACATCAAATTATATGAAAGGTTTCAGTGATGTTGGGAGTGATAAGTCTTAGCATCCTTATTTTGAACCTGACTGATGAAATAACTAGAAAAATATAAAGCAAGACCTGTATACCTGGGTGTATGAAAAGTACTCTAAGGGGCACCTGGGTGGCCCAGTCAGTTGAGCATCTGACCCTTGATTTCGGCTCAGGTCATGATCTCGGGGCCTGGGATCGAGCCCTGCATCGAGTTCTGCATTCAGCGCAGAATCTATTCGGGATTCTCTCTCTCTCGCTATCTCCCTCTGCTCCTCCTCCTCCTTGCACACACGCTCTCTCCAAGTAAATAAATAAATACATAAAATCTTCAAAAAAATAAAAATTAAAAAATGGAAGTACTATAAATGTTCTTGTCTGTGAAAGGAAAGTTATGGCTTAGACATTTACCAACAGAACTTAATGTAGGTTGTAGATTGCAACAGGAATAGTGTCTTTTCGTCATGTTTGATTAATCCCTTTTCAAGATACTGTAATTCCTGATGTACACTGTCTCCAGCAATTTTGCCAACACGCTAAAAGAATCCAACTTATTATAAACATGGTTTAAGTTTAAACTCTGTCTTCTTTTTGCCATTCAGCGTAACAGAAATAAATACAGTGGCACATCTTTAATGCCGAGTTGGGGCCCAGATTTCAACTGCCTTTCCTTTGGTTCCATCAGATTTGTAGTCCATAGAGTTGTTTTGTTTCAAGTCACAATATTTGAAAAGTTATATAAAAATATGCATTTTCTAAGGAATTACCTGGTTGCATTTCTCCTATATTTTATCTGCTATTTTAAGATATTACTAACGTTATTTTACTACTGGATGTTGTATTAGTAAATATAATTAAGTACTGCTGCTTACAAATATCTTATCAGTGGGTGAACCTAGGTTAAGAATGTTTTCCAAATACTGTCTCTTTTTTGCCCACTATAAAACCAAACATACGGCATACGGTGAACGAATACTCGGGAAACAAAATATACCGCAACAATGCTTTATAAAAGGTGAAGATTTGAAAAATATTTCTAAAATCTTTATTAAAGTTCAAAGCATTATTATGTAACTTAAGTAACATGGCTGACGTGTTTATAGTAAAAGAGTTACGTGGTATTTTTCATTGTCCATTTCTCTTGAATGGTGGAATCTCTGGGGAGCTTGGTTTCCACTCCAAATGCTCAATAATCATTTATTTAACTCGGGGAAAATAGAGCATTCACAATTTAAAGACCATCAGAGTGTAAAGAGCACTTGGAAGCCATTTATTCAGTGAGGCTAAAGGCAAGCCCAACGATTGGCTTGAATGCCTCTAGCCACAGGCCACTCGCCATCTCTTGAAAGCATCGTATTAATTCTTTGAGTAATTCAGGCCTTGTAAATTAATTTATATTGTTATAAAATCGGCACCTCTTCTAAGCTCATGCCCTGATCTTGTTCCTGACCTTTGAAATCACAAGACAGTATGCCCCCCCCTTTTCCCAAGGACACCCCTTAAGGCCAGTTCCAGGCCCTCCGCAGTGCCCAGGCCCACCGTCCCGTGCTAGCTGCATCCCTTCCCTGCACAGTCATTTCTGGGGCCCTCCTCTGGGAGTCGTGCAGTGGCTAGTCGTCTCCGGCATCACCAGAAGTGCAGGAAGAGAGCGAGTGTTCCCTTGGGGCAGCGTAGGCTCCTAGTACGTTTTCTTGTGAGATGAGAATGATGTTGGTGA